TAGTAAATAGGGTATATTTGAGACCGTAAAACACAGACAAGACTCCCTATGATATCTGGAGAGGCAAGGAGCCTACTGTTAAATACTTTCGTGTGTTTTAGTAGCAAGTGTTACATTCTGAGGGATAGAGAAAATCTAGGCAAGTTTGATTCCAAAAGTGATGATGGGGTTTTTCTAGCATATTCTAAGAATAGTAGAGCCTACCGAGTTTACAACTTGCGTACTTAGAGTGTCTTGGAATCTATAAATGTTGTTACTGATGATGCCTTTACTGATAGGGAGAGTGCTGAAAATGGGGTTGACATAGAAGATCTAAGTGATGATCAAGGAGCCACTATTGAAAATAAAGAGCAATCAATTCCAATATCTCCACGCTCCTCTGAAAACATCTCTGATCAGGGTCTACCAAGTTGTGATCAGTCTAAGCTTCCTAGAGAACCATCTTCCAGGGTCAAATCTAATCATCCTAAGGTTAACATCATTGGGGATTTAGATGAAGGTATGAGATTACGAAAGAGAGTTCTAAATAACCTAACATATACTAGCTATGTATCCCAAATTGAACCTAAGAAAGTAGAGGAAGCCCTTAGAGGTGGATGCCATGCATGAGGAGCTTAATCAATTTGTTTGAAATAATGTTTGGTATCTAGTTCCTAGGCCTGATGATTGTAATGTGATGGGTACTAAGTGGATTTTCAAGAACAAAACTGATGACCAAGGTACCATAACTAGAAATAAGGCTAGACTAGTTGCCTAGGGGTACAATCAGGTTGAAAGGGTAGATTTTGATGAGACTTTTGCCCCTGTTGCTCGTCTTAAGTCCACTTGCATTCTTCTTACGGTTGCACGTACCTTAGGGTTCAAGCTATATCAAATGGATGTTAAGGGTGCATTCTTAAATAGAATACTTTAAGAAGAGGCGTATGTTGAATAGCCGAAAGGATTCATTGACCCTAAGTTTCCTCATTATGTCTACAAACTCAACAAAGCACTGTATGGTCTGAAATAAGCTCCTAGAGCTTGGTATGACAGACTCACCACTTACCTCGTTGAGTATGGGTTCTCATGAGGTGGTGCTGACATAACCTTATTCATTAGACATATTGAAGAAACTATAACTGTAGCTCAGATTTATGTCGATGACATCATTTTTGGCTCTCCCATTAACTCCCTTGCTCTTGAATTTACTAAATGCATGAAACAAGAATTTGAAATGAACATGGTTGGAGAGCTAAGTTACTTCCTTGGTCTTCAAGTGGAGCGACGATGTTACCCATAAAACCTTATTTTCCTTTTTTCAGCATTTTAACCCGACCCAAATGTCCAAATACACTTCATATAAATAAAATTGCGCCGGTTTTCAGACGTTCTCTTGAGGATTGAAATTAAAGAAAACTCTCCACACTTTGATTCTCTCATTCAATCCCATATTTGATTCGCACAATCACCCAAAAATATCAAATCAACATTCATCAAACACCACAATACAACCTTCCAGATCCTTTGAGATCGAGGAAGGAGATCAGAGTCCCGATCGTTAGAGAACAGGTGGTTCTCTTGAATCCACAGGAGATAGATGAAATCAAGAGCCAGGAATTGGTGTAGCACGCAATCCAGGAGGGCTAGGAGCTGGGAGTTGGTGCTGGATCACGCAATCCAGGAAGGTTTTGAGGAAAGTACGATCAGGAGGTCAGAAAAACCAGTGTGGGTTGAGTCTGGCAGATTGTAAGTTGCATTTTCGTTTATAGTGGATTCCTACTGGTTTGGGCCCGGAGTTTTACCCACAGTAGGATTTCTCCGTCATCAAACAATTGCGTTATTTACTTTTCCGCAATTAATTTATTACCGGTATTCAAACATAGGATAGTAAAGCAAGTGAACTGATCTGGACAAATTAATATTTGTGACGTGTTGCAATTATTAATTGATTGAAAAAAAAATTCCGCCTAAATACCTATTCACCCCCCCTCTAGGTGTTGATTGGGTTGAACTACGATATTTAACAATTAATGCTAAATTAAGGGGAAAATGATAGTAGAGCTAATTCATTTGGGTATTTCTCAATGCCTTCTTTTCATAAGGGTTTTTAGTGATTAAGGAGACAAATGAGAGTGCATTTAATTAAGCATAGATATGATCATTTTCAAATCGTTCCAAGATAGGCATACTCAATCTAAGTTGGTATATCCCTTGATTTGAAATGGAATCTGGTACTAAAAGGGAATGGCTAGGGTTGGACAAGAGAGCCTCTTTCCTTTCTTTTCCCTTCTCGTCCGAGTTATCTCACAAAGACTTGTATCGACTAGAAAATTACCTTTTGGGAGTTTAGTGGATTGATTCCTGGGATTGTTGTATAAGAGATTCATTTATGTGATGATAATTTGTAAAAATACAAGTATTTTTGGATACTATTGGCATTTAATTTTATGGATTTTTATGTATTGATGTGTCATTCTCTGTTGTCACTATATTTGTTTGTATGGATTATTGTTGGCTTTCTGAATTAGTTTTTGTCGACCTCTCATTTTGTAGGGCTGCTGCAATTCCTAATGCTAAGGGTGATGTATGCCTTCAAATGAAATTGGTCTACAATCATTTGTCGTCTCTTTTTTTGTTTCTACTCCCATTAGTGGATTGTTCCTGCACGTGTATTTTCCCAAGATATCTGAATCTTTTTCACATACTTGTTTACAAGGTGCATCACATCTGTCATATTAACCTTAATATGCATTATACAGAATGCTAGAAAGACTCATTGATGCACTCGCTACGAAAAGAAGCCAGGGTGACTTGAATTCTAGATGTGTTACTTGGAATGAAATAATATATGTTCCAATTTTCATTCCCCCCACTAACCCCGGTTTTGACTTGAACCTTCAGTTTTATATTTTTCATTTTATCTTCTTCACAAAATGCCTAATCTTGTGAAGTTCCGATCATTCTTCTCTGTTCATTGCTTCTCTTCCATGGACATTCACCCTCTGTCCCTAACTCATCGCCTGAAGATTGGGAAATAGAGATTAGATGTTTACTTCATTGTTTGACATGAGTCATCGAGTCTGATGTCAAGCTTGAAGCTAGTGATTTTTCATGTTTGTACTTTTTCTATAAACCCAGAAATTTGATTCTTGAGAAGGAGATTTCCTTTTTAATCACTAGCATCGAAGTCCATGGGTGTAGAAGATGGTGATATACATAGTGGAGAAATAAACGAATAAGTGGGGAGTTGGCTGTCATTAGGAATTTTACACATGTTCCATTACACAAACATTATAAAGAGAAATGAGCATCTTGTGATGCTAGTTTTTAGTAACCTGCTAGAGTGAAAGTAAACGTAGATTTAGAATGTTAAAAATGTAAAGAGCCGGTGTGAGAACAAGTTCTGTTGGATTGCTCTATGAATCCCATAATAGTTTATTTGGATGCAAAGAATCACGAATAATCATCAGTTGCCTTTTTTTTTTTCAATTTCCCTTTTTATCTAATATTAAGTGATGATAATGCAATATAATTGATTTAGTCATTTCCTATTGACAGGTTTATGCAGATGGGCGACCAAATTTATTAACTCATGGAAGAAAAGCTACAGTTAGAGATTTTTATGTTTCGTCAGTTCATAAATGCTTTTGAACATTACACAAAGACACATCTTTATGTCTAAATAGTGCAATTATTCTTACTTGTTCCTTGAAAAACAAAATTGCAGCCGTTATATTGCCGTCACTTCAAAGAATCCATAACAACTTCATAGAGATTGATAGTGGTAACAATGATAATCATGGTCTTAAAAGTATTATCAAGAAGAGACTAGAAGGGGACAACAGGTTTTCCAACCTAGAAACAGAGAGAGACGATGAATGTGGGATATGCTTAGAGCCTTGCACCAAAATTGTATTGCCTAAGTGCTGCCATGCAATGTGCATAAACTACTACCATGACTGGTAACTAACACTATATCATTTTTCCTCCACGTCTCTACTAGCAAGTATAACTTAGATGAAGAAGACCATATCTTTGTCTTTTGTCCAAGTTCTTTTCAACTTTCAGGAACACGAGATCTGAGTCGTGCCCTTTTTGCCGTGGTACCATAAGGAGAGTCAAGTCGAGGGACTTGTGGGGTTCTTACGTGCAATGATGATGTCGTTGACCCGGACACTGTATCTAGAGAGGACTTGCTGCGATTCTACCATTGTATCAGAAACCTACCCAAAGACTCTCCTGATGTCTTGTTCTTAGAAGCCGACCTTGAAATGTAAATAGAGTTTGGTATAAAAAAAATTGTTGGATAAATTCTGTCATATGGGGCCACACATGTATATATTAAAATGTGTGATGCTATCTTTAAAGTTTAGTCAATAAGGTGATCCATTGAGTTTAATTTTGGACTAATGGGTATTAACTTTCATGGAATCAAAGTGTGGAAACCGGAATAATTATTTTAAATTGTTGAGGGGCCAATTTGAAATAATTGAAAGATAATAATTAATTATTTAATATTGGTCGTGGTTCCCAATTGCACGTGACTTTCAAAATTCCCTGCATCCCCATCAACAGAAAACGAATTTCAAGAAATCACGTAGCAGTTGGAAGATCATAATCGATTTTAGAAAACTCAGATCTATAGATTAAGGTATGCATCTACATTTATTTTGTTCTCTCATTGATTTCAACATGGAGATTCAAGAATCTGATTCGTTTTGATTTCCTACAAGTGGTATTAGAGCCACTCCATTGTTGAATTCTTTGAGAAATTGCAAGATTTAATGTTACTACAGTTTTATATTATGGATTAATTTTTTGGATCAAAATCTTGCAATATTTTTTTAAGAAATTTTTAGATCCGTTAGTTATTGATCTGATTTTGTTGAATGAGACAACCCTTTGGCATAAATTCATGTTTAATTTTTTCAAGATCTAGGTTAAAATTTTCTAAATTCAGATTCTATTTTTCGTTTTAAAAAAATTAAATTATTTCTGACCGGCGACAACTGAGCGAAGCAATGCTGTCGGCGCTACAAAGGTGTAGCAGCGCGCACGCTGCTGTTGTGCTTCTACAGCAGCAGCGCCCGACTGCTATTTGTTGCAGCAGGTGTGCCGGCTAGCGTGGCCGGATTGGGCCGACACTGCTGTCCCATTGGACGTCGGTCGTTAGCGCCGATAATGATAGGGAGAAAGAGAAAAACATTATGCTGGTTTTTGGTTTGGATGAATTTTTGGGGACGGGGGCCTGAGGTGCAATTTTGGTATTCTCAGGCCCTTGCTTGCAATTTAAATCAGGGTTAATAATTTTTTCAAAATAAAAATTTATTTTTCGGTCCCTAAAGTTTGGAATTCATCCAAGTTGGACCTTTAAGGTTATAGGTTTAATAATTCAACCCCTAAAGTTTGAAAATTATTGAATTTGGGTCATTAAACTTCTAAAATTTGCAATTAAAGCCCTCAATGCTTATAATTAATCAAAATTGACCCCAAATTTTAATTTTTTTTAAAAATTTGATCCCTAAAGTTTTGAATTATTAACCCTTAGGTCCCTAAAGTTTCTAAAGGCATCTAATAATGCAAATTAATGATTCTCTTTCTCAAATTAAGGTACTAGGGACTCTTTTAAGAGGAATAATTAAGGTTTAATTATGTGAGAGAATAAAATTCAAATAATTTGATAAATCGTTTATAATGAATTGAGGTTATCTAACATTTTGAATAAACTAATTAAAACAATATGTCACAAAAGTGACCTTTTTTGTGTAGATTGGTTTGTTCGGGATGTTTAGATGTCGTGTGTGCGCTTCTTCATGTGGGTATTAACCGGCCCAAAGGAAGGTTAATACTTGGCCGAATTACATACACACCTACGGTGGTAAATGTGTGACAATTATAAGATTTCCATGTGAATAATAAATCAAAACCAAGATGGTTTCATTATTTGACAGGAGTTATTGTCAATATTTGATCACTGTATTGAGAGTATCACTAGCAATTAATATTATTGTCTAAAGACTTGGTATTAATGTTGCACAAGGTATCTTGAGATGAGACTTACCATTATTTGAATTTATTGTTCATTTAATATAAATACGAGCATAATTATTTGTTTAATTTTGTTCTCTCTACAGCTAATTCATCTGCTACCACAATATCTGCTAATATCAATTCCATTCCCATGCTTAATGGGACAAGCTTCAAGGATTGGAAGGAGAACGTATTGATTATTCTTGGCTGCATGGATCTTGACCTTGCACTTCGGATTGAGCAACCCACTCCTCTTATCGAAGAAAGGAGAAACTTTGAGAAGTGGGATCGCTCAAATCGCATGAGTCTAATGATCATTAAGCGCGGCATTTCGGAAGCCTTTAGAGGTGCAATATCCGAAGAGATGACTAATGATAAGGAGTTCCTTGTCAAAATTGAGAAACGTTTTGTGAAAAACGATAAGGCTAAAATAAGCACACTTTTACAAAACTTGATTTCAATGAAGTATAAAGGTAAGGGGAACAAAAGGAAGTACATCATGAAGATGTCTCACATTGCTTCAAAACTTAAAGGGCTAAAGCTTGAGCTGTCTGATGACTTGCTCGTGCATTTGGTATTGTTCTTGCTTCATGCACATTTAAGTCAATTTAAGGTCAGTTATAACCGCCAGAAGGAGAAGTGGTCTCTAAATGAGCTCATTTCATATTGTGTGCAAGAGGAAGAAAGGTTGAAGCAAAATAGAACTGAAGTTGCTCACTTGGCAAGCACTTCTAAGGATAAGGGCAAGAAAAAGATGAAGGAATATGAAGCTGCTCCTAAGGGTCTAGCACAAAAGAAACAGAAGGAAGATAAATGAACTTGTTTCTTTTACAGTAAGGCTGGACATGTGAAGAAGGACTGTGCCAAATATCACGATAGCGTGCAAAGAAAGGTACAATTCTTACTTTGGTTAGTTCTGAGAATAATTTAGCTTCAGTACCTAGAAACACTTGTTGGATGGATTCTGGTGCTACTACTCACATAAGTGTTTCTATGCAGGGCTGCTTGGGCCACCGAAAATCAAGTGATTGTGAAAGAAACATCTATGTGGGTGATGGCAAATCGGTGGAAGTTGATGCAGTAGGCACTTTTAGGATATTGTTGGGAACTGGTTTTTATTTGGATTTGGAAGACACTTTTGTTGTGCCGTCTTTTAGACGGAATTTAATTTCTGTTTCTTTGTTGGACAAATTTGGATATTGTTGTTCATTTGGAAACAATCAGTTTAGTCTTTCATTAAATTCCAATATTATTGGTACTAGTTCATTATGTACATATGATAACCTATATTTGCTTGATATAATTGTATTATATAATGAAACCTTGCTTGTTGAATCATGAGGTACTAAACGCAAATTAAATAAAGAAAATTCAGCAAAATTATGGTACAAGCGCTTAGGTCACATCTCAAAAGCTAGAATTGAGCGACTTCTATCAGATGGTATTTTGGATTCCCTTGACTTCACAGATTTTGATGTATGTATTGATTGTATCAAGGGAAAATAGACCAAAATAAGGAGATTGGATGCTAACAGATCTTCAGACGTCTTAGAATTGATACACACGGATATTTGTAGGTCATTCTCTACGGCTTCTTGGAATGGTCAACAATATTTTATATCATTCATAGACAGTTACTCACGTTATGGGTACCTATATCTCATCAATGAAAAGTCTGAGTCACTGGATGTGTTCAAAGCTTTTAAAGCTGAGGTTGAGAATCAACTCAACAAAAGAATAAAGAGCGTTAGGTCTAACCGTGGTAGTGAGTACTACAGCATATATGACGGTTCAGGTGAACAATGTCCAGGACCATTTGCTAAATACCTAGAGGAGTGTGGAATCGTCCCACAGTATGCCATGCCAGGATCGCCTAGCATGAATGGTGTAGCTGAAAGATGAAACGGAACTCTTAAGGACATGGTAAGGAGTATGATAAGTCATGATAAGTCATTCTACCTTGCCAAAATCACTCTAGAGAAAGGCATTAAAGATTGCAGCTTATATTCTGAACAGAGTAACAACTAAGGCTGCTGCTAAAACACCTTATGAGCTTTGGGCAAGCAGAAAACCTAGTCTAAAGCATTTTCACATTTGGGGATGTCCAGCTGAGGCAAGGCCTTATAGGCCACATGAAAAGAAATTGGACTCCAAAACAGTTAGCAGTTATTTTATTGGTTACTCTGAGTGATCTAGGGGCTATAAATTTTATGATCCCACACTTAAGTCAATTTTCAAAAAGAAAACCGCAACATTTTTTGAAGATGTTGAATTTGGGGGGAGAAATAAGGTTAGAGATATTGTCTTTGAGGAAGAAGTTGAGGAAGGATCGATTTCGATTCCTACTATTATTTTTGACAATGTACAGGTTTCTATTCCTGTCGTTGATCAAGAAGCATAGCCAAAAACTCAACGAGACAATGTTGAAGAACCTCCCATCCAAAATGAGGCAATTATTCCAGAAGTACAAACTCAACAACTTCAAGAACCAATGCCATTAAGGAGATCCACGAGAGAGAGGAAAAATGCTATTCCAGATGATTTCGTAGTATTTCTCCAAAAACATGAGGAAAATAATGGAATGGTGGAAGATGATCCAATCAATTTTCATCAGACCATGCAGGGTTCTAACTCTCAAAAGTGGATTGATGCCATGAATGAGGAGTACAAGTCTATGCAAGATAATAAAGTTTGGGATCTTGTCCCGTTACCTAAAGGTATGAAGCCCATTAGTTACAAATGGATTTTTAAAACCAAAAGGGATTTACATGGTAATGTGAAAAGATATAAGCTCGTCTTGTGGCTAAAGGCTTTACCTAAAAGGAAGGCATCGATTTTAAAAAGACTTTCTCTTCAGTTTCAACGAAAGAATCTTCAGAACACTTATGACACTTGTTGTGCACTTTAACCTTGAGTTACATCAGATGGATGTTAAGACGGCATTTCTCAATGGAGACATTGATGAGACGATCATATGGTTTAACTAGAAAACTTCGTGTCAAGAGACCCGAAGAATATGGTTTGCAAATTAAAGAAATCCATCTATGGGCTCAAGCAAGCTTCCCGTCAATGGTACCACAAATTTAATTAAGTCATAATCTCATTTGGTTTTGAAATGAATGTCGTTGATGATTGTGTATATCACAATTTCAGTGGGAGTAAGCATATTTTTTTGGTTTTGTATGTTGATGATATATTGCTTGCTACTAACGATATAGGCATGTTGCACGAAACCAAGAAATTTTTATCAAGAAATTTTGAGATGAGAGATCTTGGTAACACCTCTTTTGTATTAAGGATCCAGATACATCGGGATCGCTCTCGAAGTATTCTTGGACTGTCACAAAAGAGCTATATCGATAAAGTACTTAAAAAGTTTGGCATGCAAGACTGTAAATTAGGTGACACTCCTGTCGCTAAGGGGGACAAATTTAGTTTCAAACAATGCCCACAAAATGACCTTGAAGCTAAGGAATGCAAAAGATTCCCTATGCATCAGCTATTGGGAGTCTGATGTATGCTCAAATATGTATACGTCCGGACATAGCATTCATTGTTGGAGTGCTAGGCAGATATTTAAGTAACCTTGGGATGGATCATTGGAAAGCAGCCAAAAGGGTTATGAGTTATTTAAAGAGAAAAAAGGATTATATGCTCACATGTAGCAGATCGGACCAGTTAGAGATCATAGGGTACTCCGATTCTGACTTTGCTGGGTGTCAAGACAGTGGAAGATCCACATCATGCTATATCTATCTGCTGGCTGGAGGAGCTATTTCTTGGAAAAGTGCCAAGTAGACACTCATAGCTTCTTCTAGCATGACAACAGAGTTTGTAGCGTACTATGAGTCATCTAACCATGGAATATGGCTACGAAATTTTGTCACTGGGCCATGCATTCCGAATGAAATAGAAAGACCACTAAAGTTATATTGTGACAATAACTCGGTAGTTCTATATTCTAACAACAACAGGAGCTCATCTAAGTCAAAATACATTGACATTAAGGTCCTGGTTGTGAAAGAAAGAGTACAAAGTGGACAGATTTCTATAGTACACATTGGAACAAACTCCATGATTGCGGATCTGCTCACTAAGGAATTACCACCCAAGGTCTTTCATGAGCACACTGCTCGCATGGGTGTTGTATTTCTTGAGGATATCATGTTTTAGTGGGAGTTTGTATTCTCATTGCTTTATGTTTATTTTGGACACATTTGTGTATTTAGATATTTTTTCTGTACATAAATAAAGTATTCAGTTCATTCCACTCTGTTATTATGTTCACTATTGATCTCACTTAAGAAATAAGGTTGAACCAATTGGAAATGGACATGTTCGGATCACATAACATGTAATTTCCATGCTACACTCCCATGATTGATCTATGTCACTTGGTTGTATGGGTGTACGTGACCATTGATGGATTTAGTCAAGCTAAATGTGATGAAAATCGCTTTGATCCAACATCAATATGACCGATGGACGAGATTGTTTAGAAATACCCTTAACAATGATAGCGAAGGTTTGAGCTCATAACGTTGCACACTTTTGTAATATTACATGTATGGCCCAGTGGGAGATTGTTGGATAAATTCTGTCATATGGGGTCACACGTGTATACATTAAAATGTGTGATGCTATCTTTAAAGTTTAGTCAATAAGGTGATCCATTGAGTTTAATTTTGGACTAATGGGTATTAATTTTCATTGAATCAAAGTGTGGAGACTGAAATAATTATTTTAAATTGTTGAGGGGCCAATTTGAAATAATTGAAAGGTAATAATTAATTATTTAAAATGGGTCGTGGTCCCCAATTGTATGTGGCTTTCATAATTCTTTGCATCCCCATCAACAGAGAATGTATTTCAAGAAATCACGTAGCAGTTGGAAGATCATAATCGATTTCAGAAAACTCAGATCTATGGATCAGGGTACGCTTCTGCATTTATTTTGTTCTCTCATTGATTTCAACATGGAGATTCAAGAATCTGGTTCGTTTCGATTTCCTACAAAATTCTCTCGAATTACAGAGAAATAACTGCCCTTTTGCCCATGTGATTTTCTATAGGACACCTCTAAATTGTACGAAGAAAATAAAGAATCCTCAAACCTCGAGTTCCATGCATGGACACAATTATTGGTGATCCAATATCATTTATACATTTGAATTTGTGTTTTGCTGTTTCCGTGGTTTTTTCCCTTTTTTTTTTTTTTTGGGAACTTGTACAAACCTTCCCAGAAGAAAGTATTCTGGCTATATCTGGTAGATACCTATTTAGTTCATCTCCCAATAGAGATGTGATAAAACTACTTATTTTCACTTGAAATATGTTATTTCTTGCTCTCTCGATGAATCCATCTAGAGCAGTAAGAAGTACCGAGATGTGGTGTGCATGCAATTCTACATGCTTTTTTGTTTTTGATAAGCTCGTCAAATGAAGGTCTGCAGAATCCTTGATTGAGGAAGAGATCAGTCAGATATTTATACATAGCTGTCGTGAGATGGATTCCGTCCCAGCTGATGTATTTTCTTAGGTCCTTGCAGAAATTTGCGCTAGGGGAGCCACATACCATGTGGTTGTTAAAATTCAGTTGAGTCCACTAGATCCAAAACATGCTTTGAATGGTTCTTCTTTGGATTCGTTAAAATTTCAAGTACTACATGATTATACAATTTGGGTTCATTTTTCTTATTTTTTTCCAAATTATTTTGAAAGATTTGGTTGTGGATCATTATTGAGAGTTTACATCTACAGCACAACCCATTTTATCAAGGTTTTTCAATGGACACTGTTATATGTCTATTGGGAAGC